CAAGAGAAGTGTATCAATGCTTTGAAGAGTGAAGCATTGGTGCCTGCAAGGCTTACACAGGTACAAAAGACCAAGATGGTGGATAAGGTCAGGAGTTCCATTATCTTGTGCCTCAGGGATAAAGTTCTAAGAGAAGTCGCCAGGGAGAAAACTATAGTTGTTATGTGGGAAAAACTTGAATCATTCTATATGACAAAGTCTTTAGCTCACAGTTTGTATCTGAAACAATAACTCTATCCATCCTGAATGGTGGAGAATAAATCCATAGTTGAGCAGTTCTTATCACGTGTGTCTAAGAATAGAATACTTTGAAACATTGAAGATATTGCAAGGTGGAGTAGTTCACCTTGGTAATAATAAGGCATGCAAGGTTCATGGTATTGGTATGGTCAGATTTAAAATGTTTAATGATCATGAACTTCTTATTCACAATGTAGGGTATGTTCCAGAACTCAAGCAAAATTTGTTATCTATAAGCATGTTTGATGATCTAGGCTATTGTACTAGAGTTGAACGTGGAGTGTTGAAGTTTTTGCGTGATGAATTGATTATTGCTAAAGGGTCTAAAATATGTGGTCTACATATTTTAGAAGGTTCAAATCTTATTATTCATTCATTGTTAACTTGTGGAGGCTTTCATGACAAGGAAAAGCTATGGAATTCGTGTTTAAGGCGTTATGAATGCCTTGAGAAAGTTTGAGAGGAGTACAATGAATTTTGCAGAAACCAAGAGATAAAAATGTATGTTACTGTTAAGTTGTTATTGAGTTTTTAGGGAAGAGTTGAGGTTTAAACAACTTACTTGGTTGGTAGAGAATTTCTTCAGAAGAAGAATAGTGAAAACCAAGAGAGAAACCTGGGAGAAACTATAACGGAGAAAACTCAGTTTGAGGTGGAGTTTCCTACTATGGATGCTAGCAGTAGTGAGGGAATGGTTACAGAGATCTCTGATTATCATTTGACTCATGATAAGGTAAGGAGGATTATTGTAGCATCTCAAAGGGACGGTTATACTAGCCTTGGATATTATGTTTTTAATGTGGCTGAAGGACTGCAAAATAAAAGAAGAAAATCTTCAGAGAGGCATTTGAAAACAGGTGGAGTCAAGGGTGGTTGAAAAATCATACTTGTAGGCTTCTTAAATTACCTAGGAAGAAAAAGGTAATTAGGAACAAGTGGATGCAAGTTGCGAGATTTAAATTCAAGGGTTGCTTGAATTTGATCAAAGTTATTGATTAAAGTTTCAACTTGGTTGAGAGCAACAATGTTGTTTATTGGTATAAACACGGTTTAAAGTCAAGGTGGAGATTGTTGTCAATGTGCCTTAAAACCTTTGTTGATGAAGATAAAGAAAACATATTTTAGAGATTTCATTTATCACGAAAATCGAACGAAAAGTCGGGAAAAAAATCGATCGGTGAATAGTGTTATCCATACCGATGAATAGTGACGTCCGTACGGGTGAATAGTGTTCCCGTACGATGAATAGTGTATTCGAGTTTTTGGGCTTTTTTGATTCAATCCATGGATCCATGTGACTTTGAGCTTTATTTTTTGGTTATTTGCTATTATAAATATGTATCTCTTATATGATTGGTGTGTGACAATCTTAGAGTTTTCACCAATAAGGGAGGGAGACCAAGGGTTTAAAGGTATAGCATAAGGTTTCAGCTATGCACAAAGAAAATCTTGGATTACACCTTGGGTTCGAGTGATTCATATATTGAGAGTTGGAGAGGTAGGGAAACACTTGGGTAGAAAATAGGTTTGTTCTTGAGCGCCTTCATGGTTGTTCTTGGGAACCTGAAGGCGAAGGCTATTTTCTTGTAACTCATTTGTAATCTCTTTGTAACAACTTTCTGAGTATAGTGAATTGGAGAGCTGCTCTCTCCCCCAGAGTAGATCGTTTGATCGAACTAGGTAAACAAACCTTCGGTTTTTTTCTTGCCTTATTCTGTTATGTTATCTGCGTGCGTATTATTATTGCTGAATACCATTTATTTTGGTTTCTATTGTTCTTTGCCTCATAAATTGATATTGAATTCTATCGTAATTCACAACAAGATTCACAAAAATAACCTTCCTTTGAATCTTTAGATTCCTTTTATAGAGGTAGAGAAAGAGTTATTGGAGGTATGAACAACAACAAACTTAGTGAACAAGTATACCAAGAGAGACGTTAGAGAGTTGTATTCGGTCAAAAATATTATCCACTGAATAAAGATATTATTCATAACACCTTTCGAATAACTAGGTATTTATCAAAAGGTAGAATAGATTGAAGAGGTCACATCATCATCCTTGAGCCTTGCAAAACCAAACCCTAGTTAACTGTATCCATAAATTTGTTGCTTTGACGAGACTGGTCACCTTTGGTGCAAATTACAGATAAGATGCTCCTTAAGCCTCCAGGGTCTAAGCTGTCAGCAGAGGCTGCCTCCAGGGTCTTTGCTTAAATTCTTCGTCATTTTAATCTTTATGGAGTTTATTAATCAAAATTCCATCGAATATACTTTATAGGTTAAAAGGATCGTCCTCAATATCAACTAAAAGTATTTTATCTACTGATATAAAATGCACGTACATTCATTATTTTCCATATGCATAATTCATGTTCGGTGCAAGTGTGAGTGGTTAAAGTCCCACATTACCTATGAATGGGTTGAATGTTGGATTTATAAGAGAGAATACTCATTTAACTAAGACCTTAGAGTTGAGATGTGGCGTCTACCTCTCTTGTGGTCCTAGAGCATTAGTCTCATTGGTGCTTCAGACTCTCCGAACTCCACAATAGTGGTATCAAAGCCGTGATTCGATTTTGTGGGGGAGCGGAAGCTGGATCGAGTGTTGGATCTTGTTAGAGGATGTGGGAGAGAATGTTGGGTGCAAGTGTGAGTTGTTAAAGTCTCACATTTCCTGTGAATTGGTGAAAAGTTGGATTTATAAGATAGAGGACTTATTTACCTAACATCTTAAGGTTTTGGATTGAGATGTTGTGTCCCCCTTCTTGTGGCCCTGGAGCATTAGTCTCATTGGTGCTCTTGACTCTCCCGGACACCCCTAAAATCCCTTCCCTTGAATATGGGAGCTACTCCCCTCTGGGATCGTACTTACCCATATTCACAACTTTTGAATCTGCGAGATGTGATAAAACCACAAGCTTCAAGACCAATTGTTGGATTGAATATGGGTGTAGAATGGTCCACGACCAATAGTTTTAAAAGCGCTTTACAAAAGGAAATACACAATTAAATTAATGTACATATGAATTCATTAATGATAAAAAGAAATGAATCAATTAAACAAAAATATGAAAATCACAATCACAATCCAGCAGAAATTCCCTTAGAAAGAAATTCTTATTTTTATTCATTTGGTTTCAATCTCTAAAATTCATAATCGCAACCCAATTTTTCAATTGTAAATCTAAATCAATCTTCACAAAAACATTATATTACCTAGTATAACTCAAAACTACCACTTGCACTCTCTCTTAGAGTTGAATAACCATAACAATGTTGTTTTTGGTTAAATATTGACTATGAAGCTTTTACGAGGAATCTCACACAAAACTTTTTCATATTTAAGAAATTAACTCTCAAAATACTTTTTTTCAAGATTAATTTGAAATAAAATTTGTGTGATTAACAAAATACTATTGATTTTTCAAAAATTATGAAAATATTTTTTTTTCAAGTTATGAACTACAGGGAACATTTTGCTTTTATATATGTTAGATATAAGGAACAAAATAAGTGAAAACCACTAATTTAATTTAAGTAAAAAGAAAAAGTAATGATTTGAATTAGATGAAATAGTGACTTGAACCAAGATGAGAAAAATCAAAAAATTTCTTGTTTGATTCGAGTCATCACTTAATTTATGTGATTCGAGTCAAGAAAATTTGTGACTCAAGTCATATATCCCAAATGAAATTCCAAAATTTTAAATTCATTCACGTTTCGAGTCAAACAAAGCCATGACTTGAGTCAATGTGCTTTTTGATTCGAGTAAAACAAGACCTTGAATTGAATCAATCCTTTTAGCGTAAAAATCCAATTTTCTTCTTACTCATGATTCGAGTTAAGTAGAGTTATTATTTGAGTCATACTTGTATAAAAATCTTGCTTCAAGTCTCTATCTTGTGATTCAAATCGCATACCGATGGCTTTGGTCAAATACTCAATTTTAAAAAGCATGGATGATTTAAATCGAAGAGAAAATCAGGGATAATGGTGAACACATAAAATACCATAAAATGTTAATATTTAAAAAATACTGCAAAAAATGAAAACAAATAAAAATAACATTATTACCGACAAAGCAATTCCATAGATCATTAGAATCCAATATTGTTTCATTACTTGGTTATCATGGTCCATTTTATATAATTAGCAATTTAAAATTATGACAAACTAGCAAAATAGGTTAAGAGTAGGTTCTTGAATCAAATCTCATTTTCTCTAACACAATTTTCAAATTCCTTATGAAGGTTAATGTTATTGAAAGTTTTAACCAACACCAAAGCCATTATCTACGAAACAATTATCCTAATTCAATATTCCTAAAGCCATTATCTACGAAACAAATATCTTAATTTCAGTTACCATAGTCGTGGTCAGTGGTCATTTGTTTCTTAACATCAATTACCCATTTGTCAGTAAAGAAAAGCAATGAGCAACATAAATATCATAATAATTTATATAGTAATAAAGGGAAATGTTTTGGTTGCAATGTCAAGTTTTTTAATTGTACTGGAGATTAATTTAGAGAAATTTGATGGAAGCATTAAATTTTGTTTGATGAAAATTCAAGTAAAAGATATTTTGATACAATTAGAATTGCACAAGGCGTTGAAAGGAAACATTTCCAAAATGGTTAATGAGAAGTGAGAGGAATTATATTTGAGAGCTTCCAGTACAATCAACTTGTCTTTAACTAAGAATATTCTTGCGAATGTTTTTGGTACGTTGTTAGCCAAAGAGCTTCGGGAGAAACATATGAAAGTATCAAATCACCTAAGTGTTCTAAATAATATTGTTTCTGAATTAGAAACTATTGGAGTCAAGATTGATGATGAAGATAAAGTTTTGAGACTCATACGATCTCTTCCATCTTCCTATGAGTATATTAAACTTGTTTTAATATATGTGAAGGAAATTTTTAACTTTGAAGAAGTTGCTAGTAAGATTATTTCTGAAGAAAGAAGATTGAAGGGTGAGGAGAATACTTCATCAAACTCAGTGTTGGTTGCTAGAGGAAGGTCGTATATAAAGAAAAACAATGAAACAAGTGTGAGATGTTGGAAATATGGAAAGCTTGGACATATAAATAATAAGTGTCTTTATGGGGCTACACCAGAGAAGGGCTCTGAGTCCAACACTAGCAATGTCTATCTTGTTGTGAGAGAGGATAATTTTCTCTAAAAATTGAGAAGTGTGTCCTCATGACATTTCCGTTGTCATGGAAAATGACGAGTTATTGCTAACGGATTAACATATGAGCATTGATGCGAAGTGAGTTGTGAGATTATGTCGATGGTTGAAGAGCTTCCTGCCAACATGGAAGTTGCACAATAAATTTTCAACCTGGTTTTCGACATGTGAAAATTCTTGAAGTGAAGTATACTTTTCTTTAGGTAGAGCATGATAGTCTTTTAAAACTATGATTGTCGGTGAAGACAGTGTGAAAATTCTTGAAGTGGTTTAGTTTCAAGTGAAGTATACTCTTCTTTAGATGGAGTATGATAGTTTTTAAAACTATGATTGTCGATGAAGACAATGTGAAAATTCTTCGAGTGGTATTGTTTCAACTGACTATACTCTTTGTGGTGAAGTATGATTGTCGGTGAAGGCAATTAAAGTTTATGTATTATTTTCAATCAAGGTGGAGATTGCTGAGATTGGTTGAAAATATACATGTTGAAGAAGTCTCACATTGCTTAATTTTGTGAATGAAGAGAGAATTCAAGACTATATATATGATACAAGTTCTTTGAAGTCCCACATTATTTAGTTTTCTGAAGGAAGAGTCTAAGACTATATATATATAGTTATATAGTTATATAGTTATATAGTTATTCATTCTAAGATGTAACAGTTAAAAACACTCTAAGCTTGTTATTCATTCTAAGATGTAACAGTTAAAAACACTCTAAGCTTGTATGTAACAGTTATATAGTTATTCATTCTAAGATGTAATAGTTATTCATTCTTAAAATTTAAAAAGTTGATTCATAATTCATTAACCATAATCCATTAACTAAATTAAGGATTAACACCACAAATAAATAACAAGACCAAAATTTGTGATTATGTCATTCTATGTACGACAATCTTAATATAGATCATCTTCATAAGTGATTCACAATAGATTAATACTTAAAAATATTAAAACTCCAACTATGACAACATCATCTTTTGTAATTATACATTAATAGTCATCTTTATTTTCAAGATTGAGATAACAATTAAATATATATTTTCTAAGACTCATCATCATTAAATTTTCTAGTAATTTGAAGTAATGGTCAACGGGGTGCCACCACGGTAAAACTTAAGATTTCTGCCTTTAGTATTTTCTTTGGGAGAATGTGTTCTTTTCAAGATTTTAAATTTTCAAATCTCTTTAAACATAAACAATTTTTATATTTGATCAAGTTTATATAAAATTTTGTTTGGGTTTTAAACAGACCCCCGCAAGTAAATGACGAAATTGATCCTCTTAAAGTAGTCTGTTGTAAGATCGAATAAAACCAGATATCAAGGTTAAAAAAAACCTAATCAACAAGGATGTTTAAACACAAAAATAGGACGGAAATGGTTGGTATATAGTGATAGAGACATGGATTAGGTGATTCAATGACTATGACTTGATACGGTCGAAAAAAATGGACCCAATGAATGTGACACAAAACCGACCAATGAATCCAATTATCTGTTTTAACTTTTAATACAAACTGCTCTTCTGTAAGCAGTGAACCCTAAAAAAGCAGATGCATTTAACAAAATGCATGTTTTTGGACTACACAATATATACATCACTCCCTACAACCTATTACCCTACCACACTAACACATTAACTACTATGTTACAAAAATGTATATACAACTTTTCTTTGCTTTTGTCGTCACTCTTCTATTTTCTGGCTTTAACATCACTATTTTATTTGGAATTTTCAATATTCACCAAACACTTGCCTGAACTATTGGGTTATGATTACATGAGTAGGCCAGTTTATTTGGATATTTTTTATCTGTTTTTTACGTTTGTATTTATAGCTCATTAGTTTCCTAGTGTTTATTAGGATCTATTTGATTTTTTACGTAAGATTTTGTAACGGACAAAAGAACAGAAAGCTTTATAAGATAGTGGACAACTTTTTATCTTGTATCTGATTTAGTGTACATTAGACAATGCATAAAACAACACATAAAATAATGTAAAATTTATTATAATATTTTTTTCAGCTCATTATTATAATAAATATTCAGTTTTTAAATTTATTATATACTTTATATATTTAATTTATATATAGACTATGTATTTTAATATTTATAAAAAAAATATTTATAATAGTGACTGAAGAAAATATCTATTATTATTTATGATATATAAATATTAATAAGAGAAGGATATATAAAAAATAAGCCGAAGGAGGAAAGATAAATATGAAAGAGTGAGTGAGACCTAAATAAAGGAAGAGACTGGTGAAGGAGAAGAGATAGACAAGAAAGGGGGGAGATAGATAGGGGAGAGATTTCAAGTGACAAAAGAGAAGAAATAATGGAGATAATATTTTTTAGTGAAGGATAAATATTTTAGTATTTAAGGTAATTTGTAGTTATCGTTAGAGTTGGCAAAATGGCATGTACTGCTTCGAAAAGTTTGAAATAATAAAAAAAATTAATAAGCAATGGAATTAACACAGAAGAGTATAAAGGATATTCAAAGGCTTTATAAGAAACAACAATGGGAAATTACTTCTATTTAATACAACTAATCGAGACGCAAACCACTCGTAAAAGGAACAAGAGTGAGCCAAAATAAAGTTAGAACATAACCACCTTCAAGATAAAAACTTAATAGAGTTTAAATCGTCTACAACACTAAAATGTGCTTCTCTAAAAATAAAATTGTTCCTATTTCTCCAAATGCTCTAGACAGAAAACGTTCAAATAATGTTACCAAAATCATTATCAGTTTCCTTCCTCAAACTTCTATCAAAACAGGCAAAAGAAGCTGCACAATTCGAACTCCTATCCATTTCTAGGGCAAGCCAATTTTCTGCACCTCTCCAAACTCTAGCTGCGAATTGGAACTGCCATAATTGATGCTTCTCTTAGTCAACTGTTTTCTCGTCGCCAATCTATCCTAAAAAAGTCTCCATAAAAGAACCTGCACTTTGAAAGGCAGATTTGATTTCCACAAAATCTTTAACGTCGTTTTTGTTTCGCGCTCCACAGATGAAGGAGAACCAACCTAAATTAAAAAATCGTAACAAGAACATATAGAAAAAATATCATCGACCCCTAAGTTCCAGGCAAGACTATCCTCCCTAAGGGGTTTTGATCCACTTGAGACAGTAAAAGAAGAAGCTCTTCCATTTCACAGTGTAACTCCAAACCAGGAATAAAAGAGGGCAGAGGGGTGTTTCAGTACCAAACAAAGTCATAACAAACTCCCATATCTGCCATAGAGCCTTCATGAAACAAGAAGGAACTGAACAACAATGAGAAGGTGTCCTTAAGAGGTCGATTACCTAACCAACAGTAGTACCAGAAAGGAAATGATTTCTCATTGCCCAAAGACCCTCTAACAACATTCGAAAAAAGATCCAAAGAATTTTCTTTATCGAACCCCATCGCCATCAAGTCGTGCCACCAAATGGAATCCAAGTTACAATCACCAAAACCATCATTGCATAGTTCAACCATCCCTAAGTTTCGATATTGAAGCGCATACCTATACTCGAGGATAACTTTCCAAATAGCTCCTTCATGTGGTATCATTTTCCACTTCCATTTCAAAAAAAGAGACTTGTTGAAAGTTGCCATGTCCTTGATCCCAAGACCACCTAAATCTTTCGGTAAGCAAACCCACTTCCAAATAATCCAAAGAATATTAATTTTAGACGACAAACCGCCCCACCAGAAATTAGATTAAATTTTGGACATTTCCTTTATGATGAATGATAGAGCCTTATAAAAAGAGAGCGAGAAGATAGGAATAGCGTTCAACACCGAGTTAATCAAGGACACTCTCCCCGCAATAGACAAGTTCTTGCCTTTCCAGACAGCCAAAATATTCCTTAACACATTAACCATCTATTTCCATAATTTTATCTTTCGCGGACTATCCCTTACCATAATCCCTAAGAATTTGAAAGGAAGCACACTCACCTTGCAATTTAAGAATGTTGTCGCTGATTCAATGAAACCTCTCTTAAGATTGACTATATATAAATTACTTTTGAAGAAGTTGACTATAAGACCCGAGACCAATTCAAATCCTCTGAGAAATGCCTTCACGCACCAAAGGTTGTCCCAACTCCCTTTTCTTATAAAGACAATATCATCTTCAAATTGAACAACCTTGTGGGATACACCTTCAGTCACCTTAAAACCTTTTAAGAGAGACAAGTCATCATCCTTCTTCATTAGACCATTCAACCCTTCCATAACTAAAATAAATAGAATGAGAGATAACTGGTCTTGTTGCTTAAGCCCTTTGCTAACTTGAAATATCCTTATAAGCATTTCCATTAACTAGAACAGACATAGTTTCGTTTAACACTAACTCTTCCATCCACTTCTTCCAATACATACCAAGAATCTTACACAACAAGAATCTTAAGAAATCCCAAATAACATAATCTTATGCCCTTTCAAAGTCAGCCTTCAATACAAAACACTCTTTCCTGGAATGCTTTACAAGGTCCAGAATCTCGTTAATTACTACAAAACCGTCTAACATGATTCTACCAGCCATAAAAGCAGTTTTTCCTTAGAAACAAAACTCCCTATAACTTTCTTTAGCCGGTTAGCTAACACCTTCAACATAACTTTTTGGAAGGAACTTACCAGAAAAATCGGTTTGTAGCTAACCAAATATTGAGGATTGACAACCTTGGGGACACGTATCAAGAAAGAAGCCATTGTTTCCTTGGACAAATTTGGCTTAGCATGAAAGCCCATCACAAACCTGACCACGCCATCCTTAACTAAATTCAGCAATTCTGAAATGAACAAAAAGAGTAATCGTCGGGGTCCTATACTCTTAGATCCATCACAGTTCCAAACTGCTTCCTTTATTTCAACTTCCGCAAATGAAAATTATAAGTTGTTGCTTTAAAAAATAGACAGACCCCCCAAGTCCACTTCGTTAAGAACATGCCTTGAGAAGATTACTTCTTTGAAATTATTTTG